AACATTTATGATCATTACTTCATGGAAATGCAATCAGACTGAGAAGATAAGGCAGAAGAACTACCGCGTCTGCAGTGCAAAATGATTAATATGATGATCACGGAGGTAATTTGTCCCCCCCCCATTTTTTCAAAAGCCCGTTTTGGTCCCCTGTAGTTTTAACCTTCTGAAAACAATGTTAATTTACACTATAGCAATCCGATTCACATCAGGCAATAGGACCAAATGGACGCTCAAGCCGAAAAATGGTTTCCCTCGGTTTCGACCGCCGAAAAAGTCATTGATCGGCTCTACCGCAGGGCCGCTTTTTCGCCCGCCGGACTAGTGTTTTGCAAGTTGCTCGCAAGAGTCAGTCCGTAAATATCGCTATTTGCCCATTCACTATTCACCAATGTGAGTTTACAGGCGGGCGGCATTCATTTTCCCTCCGTAACATCACATTCATCGGAAGTTTCATTTACATCACTGTATCCGGTTTGTACTTCCATCTACCTGCTGGCCGTATTGCCTCCTCTGTTACTGTGTATGCGAGATGTGCTGTTTGCTAGGCTACATGTGAAGGCAAGAACTGAATTCTGGAATAAATAATGAAATCTGAGCTGAACATTCACATTTAAATCCATGTGTCACATCAGTATTCAAGTCATATGTGAAGTATATGGAAATGATCTGCTGCACTCGGTGATCGATTCATCAGTCTGAAATCGGTACAACTAAAGAAGAAAGCAGTTGACAACTATAATCTCTCAATGGGGTGTCTAACTTGGTGTTGTGGTGTGTTTGACCATGACTTAAATTGACACCGGAATCTCCCTTTAATACTGTAACTGCTAACCTGCTCTGAATATCAGTCTAACATTTGTGCATTTTGAGAGCAAAAAGTTTCGAGGACTTTGCTACAATGAGCACCAATGGCACATGACTGTCCTTTCTCGTAATGAAGTCCTTGAGTTTCCCCCCTCCTTCCTCCAGCCAACACCCCTGCAGTCACAGCCCCTCTTTCTCACATACACCCATTTGAACTTGAAAGCTCCGTCGGCCAGATCAGTAAATAATTACAGGCAGCCAGGCAGGCAGCGGTGTAATTGAATGTAGAGCGAGTTGAGATATGGTGATGGACAGATTCCCATTAACCAAATCCACTTCATTGCAGTTCTCCCTGAGGGTGAGTTATGTTCAAACACACTCTAATCCACCTACAGAGCAGTTCGACGCCCGCACCAACAAAGTAAACCCAGAGACTGACAGTATCATTCAGAAAGTTCACACCTGCGGCGTAGTCAAGTCTTCTTCTAAACCTCATCCAGGCGGGGTCATCTGCATAAGTGTGTGTTTATGTATGTGTGTGTGTGTGTGTGTAGGCTGAAAAAGGAAGTCCCCTCCATTAAACACAGACTCTATCTTCAGCTCCACTTCGATGAGATCTTCTCATTTGAACTTCCGACCTTGTCTGGGCAAAGTCATTCCAGCTGAGTGACCCGCTCAAGGCTCAGTGGTTCAGGAGAAGGAGAGCAGAGAAAGCATAGATAGTCCTGTCACATCAGCTGTGAAGGGCAACTTATTTGCTGCTGGGCTGTAGATTAAACTCTGCAGCCTGTCATGTACAATGACTGTATTATAAGATGGACGAAAAGTTGATTAATGTGAGATGTGACCAGCAGGGAAGAGAGCCGGAGTTCATTAAAGATCAAGAGAGGATAGATAAAAAGGTATGCAGAGTGTATGAAAAAGGGCTTCAACCAAGAGTCAAGATTTTTAGCGAAAATATCTTGTGATAGGGCTCTGACTGAAATTGTTCTGTGTTCAGATCATGAAAGGTAACTTTTAATGAGATAAAAGCAAAAATGCTCTCCTGTGAGAGATGTTTGAACCCTCTGTTCGGGTTGCTGTTATGACTTTGTGGGGAAAAAAAATAACCTATAGCGTGGTGGTTAGAGCTGCAGCTGCACATGAGGGAAATGGGTCTGGGTTTAAATCCCAATCAGAAACTGTCAGTGTTAGATAAAGTTGTTTTGGTTTCCCTATGCTGCAGTCTTAGCTCTGCTTTTAAGCAACCTTGATGACAACTTCAAATAAAATTTGAATAGGAGAGCAGAGCAGGTCTACAGTGTGGTGGTTAGAGCTGCTGTCTTTTGGTGAAATGTGTCTGGGTTCAAATCCCAGTCAGGCCCTCTCCATGTGATGTGCACATGTACTGGTTTCCTCTGTTTTCTTTTCATTAATTATGATAAAACTAGAAAATTATTTGATCAAATCGTGGCAGCTAAAGAAAGGCAGGTGTGTGGCACAGTGGTTGAGACAACTATCTTTGACTGAAGTCATTCTGGGTTGAAATCCAGGCTTTCTATGGATTTGAACCTAACCCTAATGCTGTCCTAACAGTGCAAATCAGCTTTTGAATAACAACAATAGTATGTCATAATGGAAACACTTCTTCAGGTGAGCTGGCTCTGAGATGGAGAGGGCTGCTGCCTTTCAGTGAGTTGACTCTGGGTTCAAATCCTGGCTTTCTATGGATTTGAACTTAACCTTAATGCTGTCCTAACAATGCAAATCAGCTTTTGAATAATAATGACAGTTTGTCATAATAAAAAGACTTCTTCTCTGAGGTGGAGAGGTCTGCTGCCTTTCAGTGGCTAAAATCCTGTGAAGGACAGAATGAGGCTGTGGTGGGGCAAGTGAGAGAATAAGGCAGGAAAGGGTCAAAAAGAGGAGACAGGGGAAAAAGGGAAAAATCCTAAAAACGGTTTCCCTCCTGTTTTTGAAAATGTTTAATTTCTCAGTAAGGGTGTTCATGTGGTTTTCAGAGCCATCCTCAAGTGAACACTTCAGGAAAAGCATCTTTCAGCACTAAAGCATTGGTTTCATTTTTCAACACTGGTGGTTGCTGCTCGGTGTACATGCACAGAAGTGGTCTGCAGGCTGAATTTGAAACCTGCCTGTTGATCCTGCCTGAAACTGTACCCCTGTTTGTGACAATTGTAAAATGATAGCAGTCTCTTGTTTCCCTATGCGACACATTAGAAGTGACAGCATTTAAGTGTTCCGCAGACTCACACACCAAACATCAGAATATTCTTGTCCTGTTGACTTCTGTCTGCTCTCTTTTATCAAACCAGAACTTTAACATTTGTGCAGTTTTATCAGAGAGGAGCCAGAGTGAGAAAATACAGAAACCAGACACAGTTTCAGTCAGAGATTAGCAGGGAGTAGTCCAAGCAGAAAAATATGTTTTTCCACACAAGTGTTAATGTTTCTGCATGTGTGTAATGTGTGTGTTTGTGTGTGTGCCTGCAGAGCAGATGCTGTTGCCTCAGCCTGCTCTGAGTCTCCTCTGGGATTCCTTGATGTTTATTTCATCAGTTCTCGTAGTGCAGACGTATCACCTCACACAGTTCTCAGGACACTGTTGAAGCCTTGTGTATGTTGTGTGTCCTTGTGGGGGAGGAATATTAATGTGTAAAGGTTTTGTTTTGACAAGTCCTCTTTTTTTTTTTTTTTTTTACAGGCAAATGAACCGCATGCCAAAATGTCATAACTTTCCACACTATTTGATGTTATACATCTCCCCCTATGTGTGCTCATAGCGCTGGAATAAGAGAGCTTTAACGACATCTCGTCTTTCCAACAAACATAAAAAAAGTCTGAGGAATCTTGTACTTTGGTGTTTACAAACTACAAAAATTAAACAGTCTTTAAATGGTCTTTAAATGACTTCTTTCATAAAGGTTTCCATGGCAACTGTATTGAAACTGCTGAGTATGTCTACCTACAGTTATATGCAGTGCATCAACAGGGACTGTGGGGATCTACTGGTTGTTTCAATTGTGTCAATAGGCAGATTGAGGTATGAGGTATTCACACAAAGGTGTTTCTATGATCCAAGCTGTAAACATGTTTATTTTTGCTATAAAACTGTCTTTTTTTAATGGGTGTTTATGTGGCTTATAGAGATTTTGGAGTCAGCCTCAAGTGGACGCCTGAGGAACTGCAGTTTTTAGCACATCCACATTGACATTATTACACATTACCATGGGTTGCTGTTTGGTTTTAACACAACCCAATAAACCTCTAACAGATAGCCATCCATAGCTTTGGATATTGGCTTAGTACCATGGTGTGTGTAACTCATAGCCGTCCCTTTACTACAGTTTTTTTGTTACTTTATACTATTGTGACTATTTTTCAGTGTAGAATAATCTTTAAAAAGTTCTTTAAATTTTTAAATGAATTTATTAATACTGGATTGGAAATTTCTGGTTATCTAGTATTGAATAAAGCAGTATAATGGGCCGCACATCAATAAATCACTTATTATATAGAAATAAAATTATGTCCATTAGGGCTATATTAACTTTTTGTCCATTGGCTCATTTTTTGATACTATTTTACTATTTTACTTTCACTTAAAGCTCCTGTGAGCAGCTCTTTGACATTTATTAAATAGACTGAAATTTATAACATTGACTTTTTTTATAATTAAAAGCAAATATGATAATTAGCAACAAGACAAATCCACTTTCACAGTGATTTTATGTATAATATATAGTAAAGTGTAAGTGGAGCTGCTAAAGAAAAAACATCTTTACACTTTACAAATTAAATTTTGACAATAAATGACTAATTTGACAGTTGAAATTCAGCAGGGTAAGATTTTTTTGTAAGCAGATGTTATTTAACGTTGAGGAGGACGAACAGGCAAAGACTGTTTTGTCCACTAGAGGGACCAAAATCGTCATGAACCAGGAGCTTTAAGTTAAAAATTTAAAAACATAAATTTATCCTGTATAAGAGAACTTCTACTTTGTGTTTTTGTCACTACAAGGTTATCTGAGGATCTGAGTACTTATTACTCCACTTCTGTGATAGAGTTTGTGTATTATGTTTGGCAGATGTGATGGAAAAAAGCCAGCAGAGGCTCTTTGATGAGTGTCCTTTGCTGAACGCTGAGCCGCTTTTCTTCAATTGTTCACGCTGTGAATCAGGTGGACGCAGGAAGAATGAAGCTCGAAACAAAAAACACGAATGAAACCTGCATTCCTCACATAGCTCAGCCATGTGAGCGTGAGTCACCGCGGACATTAAAGGCTGCACTTAAATCCCTTCAGAGAGACGGAGGTACTGAAAACGACAATCAGAGGAGAAGGGACGCCACATGAATATCAGGCTTTAAGCTGCTGTGTGGGAAGTCCAAAAAAATCAGAAAAATGTCAGACTGTGGAGCTTAAATATAACAAAGACCAAAATATTATTGACTGGGACATTTTTAGTTTACTTGCACTCACTGTTTTTACACCAATACATTTAAGAAAAGGCAAATACCCAAAAATTGTACTCTGTCATGAGGTTTATTGGTATAGTGTAGTCTAGATATACAAGTAAACATACAGTTTTAAGTGTAAATTACTAAATCAAATACATTGAGTTAATTTCTTGTTCCCAGGAGACATCAGCAACAAAGTTAAAGACTGTCAAATTTGCCCCTTTAATAGGAAAATCACCATTAGAAGCAGCATGCAAAGTTAACTACAGTTTCCTGCAGAACGGTTCGACTCTGCTGCAAAATTTAGCTAATTTTAACAAACTCCGACTTAAGATCTCATCTTCGTTTACAGAGATATTTAACTTTGCCAAATTATCTGACAAATTTTGAGCTGTAGCTAAGTTACGCCTTGTTTCTCCCTGCAGATTCTGATCAACTGAGCATAACTGACCAGCATCCGCCGTGGTGTCTACAACTACAGGAGACATGCACCTCAGAAGACTTCATGTAAGAAATAGTGGAATATCCCTTTAACAGCTGATTTGGACCAGCAGAATCAAGGTAATGATTCTTAGTTTAATCATGTTTTCCCTCAAATACGTTTATCTCTCATCTTGCACGCTCTTTATTTGTCCCCTTTGAAAGAATACACACACAGTTTATTTCCTCCATGTTTGAACTGCTTCTGTAGGGCCAGTCTGCATCTGTGTTTACCATGACGGAGAGGAGGAGTGCAGCCAGAGATCAACAGACATCTGCTCCACTTTCAGCCTTCACTATCAGGTCAGGAGGAGAGCAGATCGCAGATCAACTTCTACTGTACCTGAGGGACAGATAAGAGCAAGTCACAGGAATTCAGACGACTCTAATCATAGGTTTCCTCTCTCTCTGTGGAATGCGGAGGAACTAACCGAGAGTCTGTAGATGTATGTTTACTCTTGGGGACCTAAAAAGAAGCATATGAGAGAGAGAAGGAGAGAGAGGCAGGAAATGAAGGAGGGACTAAACTTGACAGAGATGGATGTGGGAAGCCTCAATTTATCTCTGAGGCTTTCACTTACACGTCCACTTAAATACAAAGATGGAAAGAGAGAAGTGCAGCCTGTGGAGAGGGAACTCAGCATTTCTTGAAAGAATTTCTTTCAGGTGTATAAGAATAAATCAAAACGAGAGAAATCTTTCAGTTCATCCAGTTCTGGATTTGCATAAATATCCAACTCAACAGATGGACTCTGCATCAAAAGACAAATTCTTGGATCTCAAATGTTTGATTTACCATTACAGTCTAACAGGAACTGACAAGAGCAGATGAACTTTAATGACCTGAACAATTTTTTTGAGGAGAGTCACGCTGCAAATCTATAAAGTTCAAAACAAACAGAGCAGATGAAAAAAAAAAAAGTACCGCAAGTGGCAAAACAACCGTATTTACAGTTAACATGATGAGAGCCGGTTCCTACTGGACCACCTGATCTGAAACGAAAACCCTGCTTTTACATAGTAAGATGGATCACAAACAACTTGAGCATGATCATGTGGTCTTTGGTAGGGATGGGAATCGAGAACCGGTTCTTGTTGAGAACCTTTTCCAAATGGTTCAATCCATCGACATCATTTGCATTTTATCTAAACGATTTGTTTCTACCGGGTGCCTTGAAAAATGGTCTCGCGAGAGCCAGTCTATTTGGACGAGAACAGAGACTTTGAGGGAAAAAACATGGCAGACGGTACAAAAGGTTGGCAGAACGATAAAGCGTGGCTTCATTTTACTTAGAAAGACGACAACAGCGCAACATGCAATGTTTGTTGAGTAGTGATAATGTGCAAACACCAGCAACATGCTTAAACATTTGTCAACAGGGCACAGCATCAAATATAAGGAGTCACAAGTATTCGATGCTCTTCGCTGGTTGTCAGCTGCTGCTCCATCTCAGCACAACATGGAAGATATTTATGTCTTGTGTTAACATAAGCACAATGCAGGCCAGACGCAACAACGTATTATGTATTTCACTTACTACCGACCGAGTAAATGCTGTAAAAATAGTGTCGATTGATTATTTTTAGACTCTCACAGAAGGGGGCATACATCTTTTTTTGTTATACATTTTTGATATAACGGTGAAAACTTAGTCTACTTTTTTTTAAATCAAAGAAAGCCATTTTTAAGGGAATCGTTAGAGAATTGAACCAATAAGCAGAATTGATAACAGCATTGATATTGATAAAATCTTAAAAATCCATCTCTAGTCTTTGGAGATTTGAAGTAAGCCGTTGATTTTTATGGATAAAATGTATCATTTAACAGATGAACAGTTAGCAAAAGCTCAAGTGAAAATCCAGCCTTAAAAATTAAATCAAACCTGAGCTGAAATCCAAAACTTCAAAGTAAAACGAAAACTTCAAAACTTTTGTTACTTGAGTTACGATGAATCTATGGGACGATTTCTTCCATTTTTTAAACTCAATGCCCCCACAGATATTTTCTTTATAGACGGGTAGGAGCCAGCTCAGACATAAAGAAATAAAACCTACTGTACTTTCACTCTTTCTATTTCATTATGTATCCCCCCAACACCTACACTGGAACATCCACTCCACTGTACACCTCTGCTCGGCACCTCTGGGAGGATTATGTTGGAGTTACAACAGATTGAATCTCACCTAACAGGTTGTGTTTGAACCCACAGAGCATCCTCAGCACAGATGAAGCAGATTCTACCTTTGAATTGTTCAACAAACACTCATATTTTATCTGCTTTCCAAACTGTTTTGTGTTTTTTGAACTGCTCAGCCTCTGTTCTCTGACCTCTTTTCCACCCACCGCTCTCAGTCGAGCCGATTCCCCATCAATAAGAAAGTATTTTTGTTGAGTTTCCTCCTCTTTCTGCAGCTCCGTGGGTGTATGAATCTCCTGTGGCAGTGCCTTATAGGTCCACTCTGCTCTCCTGAATGATATGAGGCCTGCCTTCTTCAGCAGAAGCAGATAAGAGCTTAATGCATTACCCCGCACAGCAGCCTACAGAAACGGCCACATAAATCACATCCTGCTTGTACCTGAGTGTTGACTGTGTGTTTGTGTGCACTACAAGTGGTGGTGGGTGTGTTTTAGAGGGGTTGGAAGTTTGGTGTAATCACCAAACACACACACTCACACACTTGATGATATATCTCAAACACACGCCATGCAGTTTGTTGATGTTGGATTGATTTTTTTGTCCCAACAGCTTTCTTAAGATATACAGAATCTAACCTCTGCTATTAATGATCACGATGAAAGAAGGATCGTCAATCATGACGGATTTCAACCAAAAGCAAACATTTCAGGGGTCAGCTGGCTCAGAGATCCATAGGAGATAGAGGCAAACACTGTAGACAGCTGAGAGTGTGTCCTGAATGAAAATGAGCCGACGGACGCCAGGAGAGCTGACAAGCATCGTCTCTGTCTGTTCCTAAAGATTCGACAAGCAAAAAGGTCACTTGAGTGCAGTAAACATGATGGAAATTTATAGTTCAGACACGCTCAGACTGACTGTGCTGGGCGTGTAAATGCTTCACTACTTATCAGATCGAACGACGTAAGTGGAGGAACACGATGGGGCTGTCAACGTAAAACACAAGATCATCAGCAAAGAGAGATTCGTCTTTTGCCCAAATTAAGCGTGAACTTCAAAATGCTGCAATTATCAATCAAGACCATGTAACCACAGATTCTCTTTTGCAATATTAACACACTATTGCCATTGTCTGATATGCAAATGACACATTGCAAGATCAGTTAGCAGTGTAATCGTTATCGCAGCATGAAATTTAGTCTGAGACACTCAGTGCGTTTATATGCACAGCTTAATCGGACTAAGCTCATTATTTTTTTTCTTTTCAGACCTCTCTCCTTGTCTGCATACATAGAGCTGAGAAAATCAAATTATTGACGTGAACGTGTCCTCCTCCCCAAAACTAGGGGTCCTCTCAGTGGCGCTGTTTCCGACCCCATACAACTGTCAACAACAACAGCAGGTCCGTGCCAGACGTCAGAAGTGTCTACAACTGCTGCTGGGCATTTTCAAGCAAGAAGGTGGAGCATACTACAGCATTATTTTTGTCGTACATGATGTATGCGCTATTTTTCTGCAGATGAGATGCACACTACTCCTCTTCTCTGGTGTTTTTGTTCCAGAGTTACGGGGGCATACATGCATTGTCCATCATACTCCAACTACACTGGTTACAGGGTAGAGAAGATCGAATTCCAATCGCATTATCTAGGTGTCTTAATCAGAGTTCTCTGACTCCAATCTGAGTTCTCAAACTCCGATTATAGGGACTAAGGTGTTTACATGCACCTCAGTTGTCCGGTCTTAATTGGAGGAAGGCAATAATTCAGTTTTCTGGAGTGTCATGTAAACGAAATGACTGATTACTCATGGTGTCATTTTGGTGTTAAATGCCCCTTTGGTCTAAGGTTCAGGCTGTTGGAGGGCAGATGACTTATTATGTTGATCTGCTTAGCAATACTTACATATGGTATTACAATGTTGGATGTCAATACTCAACCTCAGCAAAGTTTCATAACATGAGCTATGCGATTGGTTCAATCTTGTCGGCTTCTCTGATCAGCTCGTTTTAAGAACAGTGCAGGACTTGACCTAAACCTAAAAAGTCACCATCCTATTTTTAACTGAAACATCAGAGCCAGACAGTCAATTTGTGGTCTTATTGTTAACAATAGAACTGGTTGTGTTTGTGAAAAGTGTTTATGTGCAGTAGTTGAAATGTTAACTTCAGCTCATTATCCACATAACTAATCGATTAAGCATTACTGAAGTTATTCTGTGATTACAAAACTGTGTAAAAAGTAACACCCACTAACTACGGCTGACTTTAAATGTCTAGAAAAAAGCAAAAGTAACGCAAAGAAAGTTCTTAAAGGTGATCAAAGCTACTCTTCAGGTGTCCCAGTTCGACATAATGAAAGGTGAGAATGCGTTCAGTAGGTCTCTTTTAATTCTGCATATTAGTTTGTCTGTAACAAGGAGCTGTCAGGAGAGTTTAGTCCCTCCAGCTTTGTAGATGTTCACCTCCTGTTGTCGTGTTTGATAAAAGTAAGTGTAAAATATGGTAATTATAATTTTGTCCTTCTGTGTTTACTCCCCCAGAGTGTTTTGCTCCTGTTTAACGCAACAGTCTTAAGATGTTTTGTGAAATCTCGTCTGAGTTGCCGTAATTAACCTTAATAACCCTGAGTCCGTTGTTGATTTCTGCATGCACGCACTGGAGCTGCTCAAGAATGTGTTTTCTATAAGGAACCGTATAAGTTAGACCACATTGTTTTGACGGATGAGAGAGGGTGACTCAATCTACTTTCTCAATCTTTTCTCTGTTTTCTCTGGCGCTCGCTCTGCGGCTCGAGCCCTCCTGCCCCCGTCTCGTCCAATAAGAGTCAGTGACCCCGGTGATCTTCTGCGGCAGACATCACTGCTCATGATTGTTTTAGTTCCGCCGTCTCTGTCAAAAACCGCCCAGCGCTGGAGTCCAGTGTGACTGGGCAGCCTCAGCACTTCATCATGTTGGATTAAGTCAAGTGTCTCCACCCTGGCTGCACGCCAACGGAGGTCAAGCTTTGGCGGCCGGCCTGTGAAAACACAACGGTCTCCCTCCCTCCTCTCCGGGTGAGTCTAACAAGGACGAGCACTGCGGGGAGACGAGGGTGTGTTTAACTAGCGTGTGGAGTTTTCACAGATAAGTATCTCTGCAAGAGGCCGCACTCAAGTCGAGTATTTGCCTAACCACTTCCATAATGTGTGCGTCAGTGTGAGTGTGTGTTTGTGTGTGTGTGAATTATGATTTAACAGAGTCTGTCATAACCATGTCAGTCTGGGTTAAATCCATCTGCAATCCCCTATCTCCAGCTCCACCCTGTCCTGACTTTAAGCAGTGATCTCACCTCCAGATGGCTCATTGTTCTCTCTCCGCTGCCTGCCTCACTTTTGACTTACAAGTCTGTAAAGAGTGGAGAAAAGTAGCTGGAAAAGTTGTAGTGCACAGACCTTTATCGGAGAACTTTTGTGTCAAGAAAAAAGTTCTTAACCCAAGAAAAACTTTCAAAAATCAAAATATTATGAGTCTGTGATGGAGGACCACATTGAGAATCGATAAAAAGTTAACATCTCAAGAGTAAAGACAAAAATCTAGTTCTAAGATTACAAGATTAAAGCTGTAATTTTACAAGGATAACACTGTAAGAGAAGCAGAAGCAAAAAGCTGTAAATTTGCAAGATTAAAGTTGTAAATATAAAGGATTAAGGTTGTAAATTTACAGGATTAAAGTCTTTAATTAAAGGAATAAAGCTCTGAGACAACAGGTAGCTAATTTGAGGAGAACCATGGACTTTGACCCATCAGTGCTGCCATTCCAATCACGTCCCTTAGACGACGACTTCAATAAACAATGCTTGACCCCCAATTTCCACCGCATCCCAAAAAGGCCGTATCCGCCAATCACAGCTTATTGCAACCATTCAAGTTAATGTGTCAATTTTCACCGACCTCTTTCCATTCCGCTGCAGTTCAGCAGACTCTGCAGCCAGTTGCAATGATTTTATAAAAAATCATCCGGCATCTTTTCAAAATAAAAAACTCAGTGTTTCAGGTGGATCATATTTCACACCATGCGCATGGGCGGGTATGAACAGATGAATGGTTTTTAGACAGCATTTCACCCCAATGGCACCATGGATGAGGAGATGTTAATTCTAGAAGTCCAGAAGTGGATTTCTCCTTCTGGAAGGACACAATCTGCTGCTTATATGGTTATGTGGCTGTAGAGACAACTTGTTATTGCACGGTTGCATGTGAATCTGCGGGTTCTTGTGAGTTCTCGCGATTCCTGCTGTCTCTAATCCGCCACGAAATTTGTCTCACAAATGGATCCGGTAGGAATTGGCGGACGGCAAAGGTCGCACCTGGGGTTAGTTTTGATATGGTGTCTTTATTTGAACCATTGGGCCAACCCCTGCTCAGGTATAAGCAATACAAGCGGATGTCCTTTGAAATCTTTACTGTGAAGTTACATCCTTGTATATTGCGTGGAAATCAGATTGCACTACTTCGCCTTCAGTGTCACTTTAATCTGTGAATTTGATCCGCCTCTGTTGTTTCTGATACTGCTTCTTGCACACTGTTATTTCCAAGCATCGTGACATTGTTTGAGCTTTTTATAGCAAAAATTAGCTATCTGATTTTTTCCTCCTCTGCTTGACTTCACGTAGTTCCTCATGAGGAGAAACATAACAAAGCCTCAGAGACGATTGCTATTTACCTCCAAAAAAGCATTCAGTCATGACATTTTTCTCACGGCCCCGTTTCCTGGTGTTATCATGTTTTTATGCCTTTGCCCCTTTAATGCCAATCATGGCATGAGGAAAACAATTCCTCCATTCAAAACCGGAGGTATAAAGTCAACACAGCTTGCAATCTGTTCCCTGGAATCAGTGTTTCCACGGCAGCAAACATTACAGCAAGGAGGGCGTCATGCGATTGGTGTGACAGGTAAACATGCACAGTTGCCTGGCGGGCACATGATAAGATGGAGAAAAAGTTCTTATCTGTAGACAATTCCATTACAGGTGTGTCAGAGCACCGGTGCATAAACAAGAGGCGGCATGTTCATGCAAAATCAAGGACAAACAAAACAATCGTTCCATTTAGTGTATTTAGCACAGCAGTTGTTTTAGTCCACAGACAAGTGGGAAGCTCAAATATTACGACTGGATTCCTTAGAAGAAATCCAGCGCACCTGATAATTATGAGTAGGGTGACCATACGTCCTCTTTTACCTGGACATGTCCTCTTGTAGTGGGCTGTCCGGCCATGGAAGCCCGTTTCCACCAGTAAAAAAGAAAAAAAAAAAAAATTAAAATTTTTGGGAATTAAGAATATGCATTGAACTGAGTTAGAAGCACATAAAAAAACTCTCGACCTGACCCAAAAACTCCTCAAAATTTTGCCTATGTGCACACAACTCCGCCTTGCAAAGTAGTGTCCTCTTTTTGGAGATTCAGAATATGGTTACCCTATATAAAACACACGTGCTCCATCTCACGTTCACAAAGCACCATTTTCAAGTGATTCACAGCTGGGTTTTTTTTGCTGATTTTATTCTGCACGATCTCAGATAGGTCGATGGCGATTGTAAGGAATCCTCAAAAGCCTCCAAAACAGCACAATCATATTATAGCTGCAGTTTTCTCAACAGGACATCAGAGGAAACTGACCACTGTGTGAACACGGTCAGTGCAGGAGAGTCTTGTGCAAACATTCCCAACTGTCCCTCACACACTCAAGGAGGGATGTCTATTATCTCCTGCATTCATTAAGCGGTTTAAGCTCTGCACACTTGTCATGCGGTCAATTCCTAATGAATCCTCCGAGTGAAAAATGGAGGCAATAAAGAGGAAGTAGATGAGAAGCGGACACTGTGCTGAGGCGTAATGAAAGAAGGGACATGTATAATGTATATCCCCTCGGCTGAGGCCAAAGTCTCCACTCTGTATCATTTTTACGGCATGATCTTTCTTGGATGCCACCACATGGTCAAAGGAGTATTCACCCCGGTGAAGGGATCACATGGGTTCACTTTCGCGCCCTCTCACCTCAGATTTGTATCTCTGCTCGCAGCAGCAGCTCTCGCCTCATCATCTCCCTTGCTATTCTTTGACTCAGCTCAGGTGATCCATTAAGGTTCCCTCCATTCATGCATGTACTCTCACATGGCTTCAACAGAGGGAGTAAACAGAGTGCCGAGAATACATAATCATGAGTCTTGCTAGCGAGCAGACCTCATGTCTGGAGATTTGAGGAGAGAAAATAGAAAGTAGGTCACTTCCTTTTCTTTCCAACAAATAATGCTAAACACCAAATAGACTACTTAATGATGTATTCTCATTTTCACCCACAGGAGGAGAGACTTGTATCATCTGCATAGAAAAATTCCACATGTGCTAGAAAGGCAAGAGAGCCAGCCAGATCATGAAATATCTAACATTTCTGTCGATATACAGCATTTTTGATTGGTAAAAATTAGCTTGTCTAGCTTGTCAAGTTCCCTTTGCATTAAAATACTGCATGTGTTTCATGTGGTGCTTTTGTGTTGTTCAAGGTAATGGTTAAAATTGAGTCTATTTTTCAGTTTTGTGTTTGTCAAAGTTACCAAACGTTCAATCCTGTCCTGAGAGGAAAGTTTGGTAACCAAAAAATCAGTCAAACTGAATCCAAAAAAGATGTTAATGTGTAAAAATCTATAAATGCTGGTTTATTAATTCTTATACTGAAGGACCAACAAAGCTGTTTTGTCCTTCTCTATTTTGGAGTTTGAACTTGTCAATAGTAACTGTCTCACTCAGAGGAGATACGGGTCAGCTCAGGCTTGTAATCGATACTTCAAAAAGAGAATCAGCACCAAAGCTAGAACATCAATTCTGCAGGCAGGGTCAGTTTTCTACACTTGGGGTAAAAATGTACTTTTCTCAGAAAGCCCAACCAGAAGTAAATGTCGATGTGAAGCCTCACTTCAAGATAGGAAGGGTGAGAAAGTGGGTGAGATGGAAAACTGTCCTTTAATCACATAAAAGATTGGCAGTCTAGCTGAACAGATATTAAAAGAAGACTACATGTGCCAGCGCTGTAACAGCCCGCAAAGTGACGCGCCTACGTGGCAGCCATCTTGGTGGGGGCAACTTTCCCATTAAATGCAATAGATGTATATAAATCATATCTTGCTCATTTCTCAACCAATTTTCATGTGGTTTACTTTATTTTCAACATTTTTTTTTTTTTATCAAATGCTCTGTATTAATAGCACATGCTTTGGCGTTGACAATAAAGTAAACCGGATGAAGATTGGTTGAGATATGAAGATATGGTTTATTTCCCATGTACATCCAATGCCTTTAATGGAAAAGTTGCCCCCACCAAGATGGCTGCCATGTAGGCACGGGGCTTAAAGGGGCATGTCGTATCTACTTTTCATATCTATGTTAATTAACAGGTTTTGGAGCATTAACTACTCCCATCAAGATGATGTCTGTACTGAGGTAGACCTTATTTACTTGAGCCAAACCATTTTCTGCACATGTGGCTCAGAAGTAGGAGAGTCCGGGTGCTAAACTAGCCTGCTCACAGCCACCCCTGAAACACACATTTGGCACATAATGAAGTGAACGAGACCCCAAACCATTGAGCCACTTAGATTCTGTTTTATTGACATTAGATCAATGATTTTCCTCTGTAAGATAAACAGTAAACACTCTGTAAAGTCACTGATTTCTGATAAGACAGTCGTTATTGTAAAGGTTGAAACAATTAATGAAATGTAGATGCTAACTGCTATATTTCCATAGATCTGTTGCTTGAAACAAAGACAGCATTCACAGACACAACTAATTTCCACAGGGATTTTCCTGTTTGAGGATAAAATAATATATTTCTGTTATCATGCTAATTCATTACTTCCCCTTTGTCTTGTTGCCTCCTCTATGTTTCTCTCACTTCTCTCACCGCTCAGTCCTGAGTGTTTTATTCATGTGTGCAGTGACAGAAGCAGTAATGTATTCCCGTGTGGTTTGAAAAAATCACATGCTCTTCCTGTGTCCTTTCCTCATTCTCAATCTCGCAGACGTGTTAATACAGTGACATTACACCTCCTATATGAGCTCTTAACTCCCCTGAGTAACCAATAAACAGGTTGTGACTGACTAGTCTTCATGAGACCTGTCCGTAGAGACCTTTTCTGATTTACCGTGGAAATCTCATTTCTGATTTTATGATCATTTCATAGTCGGTGTTACATTTGCAGCATTATATTAACACCCTTTTACTAGTACTCAAAATTCATAGAGGACATTTGATCTAAAAGGATGATATACAGTCAACTATGATTTTAAAAACCACATCTCTCACTTA